CATGCTGACGCTGTTTCCGAGGCAATCTTCTTCGATTCCGGTGAAAAGGTGCTAAGCTTTCGTCCGTCATGACGAACATCATCAGAGCAAGGTAGCATCGTCACAACACAATTCAAGCTAACGAGTCAAAGAGGAGGCTCAGCACCTTTTCACCGGAATCGAAGGAGGTTGCCTCGGAAACATGAATCTTCCATGTCAGCATGAATCTTCCAGTATTAACCAATCGACAGCTGATCAAGAGGAATCCGCCGTCGTCTTCTGGTGGAATGGACCTTCGAATCTCTTCACCCAACACTTCTACTCGAAATGAAAGTAAGCTCAACAATTATGAAACAAGAGATTCCTCAAAACCCAACTTTTCTTCGTATTTATTACGAATTAGGCGAAGCCGGTGACTATGGCGTAGAGGGTATCGGCCATGTGAAGTGAGGCTGGATGGGGAAGGGGGATGGTGATACAGCGCCCGACGATTGGAGATGTAGAGAGCTAACTACGACACTGAGACGCTGGAGAAGGAGGAGACGAGGATGCCGGAGGGTACGGTTTGTGCAATTCACACTCTTCCAAGTTCGTCCAGGACGACCCGACACACTTCTCGCGCCATTCTAGTCTGAGATCTGCTGGTGCCATCGAAATCTAGTCATTATGAATGTATTTTTAGAATGTGAGTAGATTTTCGAGACTACCGGTAAATCGGTAATATGAGATGTGCTCACCCTATTTCGTCTAAGGTGTGAAGGATTGGCAGTACAATTTTCCCACAATGACCTTTTCATTGAATTTCACATAGCCTTGCTTTCACCCTGGATGAGAACAACTTTTGGGAAAGCCAATCCTTCATCACGTCAGACGAACTAGGGTGAATACATGTCATATTACTGATTTACTGGTAGTCTCAAAACTATACCCAATACGAAAAAAGGAGAAGTGTTGAAACGAATTGACTTTGTTTATATATCGTTTTATAATTAGGTTTTTCGAGGCTACCATTAGATCTGAAATAAGAGCTGATCTTTTCATTACATTTCACAAAGTCTTGCTTTGCCAAAAGATGAGAACAACTTTTGGGAAAGCAAGGCAATGTGAAATTCAATGGAAAGGTCAGCTCTACTCATACCATTGTGGGAAATTGGGTGAATACATTTCATATTATGAATGTGTTTAATGCAGTAATGTAGTGAAATGGAAAATATCAGCTTGCTTCATCGGCAAAAACACTTATGCAAAGGCGACATGGGAGAGCGAACCGGTCTCGAATCCGGTTTGGAAATGAGGCCCATTCTAATTTCAATACATTTGTCCGTCCTTGAACACATTTCACGACCCAACCTGAGCTAAGCTCTTGTCGAAATTCCACTGAAAGTCGTCCCTCGGACACACTCGCACAGACATTTGCTACCGCTCCGAGAGACCGGACCCCGATGGCCCTTGCCTCCTCCGCCTCGTCGCGGAACCGGATCCGGGCCCAACTCCTCCACTCGGCCTCGGATGAGGCTGACAGCTTTACGCCGATTCGTAAAGTGGTATCCGGCCACGCTCAGGAGCCCCCTTCTGGGCCCGGGGCTTCTCACGGCAAGCCCTATGGCGGCCAGTTTTATGTCGGCGCTCCGGTACCGGCCGACCGTGACCAGTTTCCGCGCACCACCCTTTGGTCAATTTGCCCACACAAGCCGTCAGTTCTGCTCCTGGCGAGGGCATCTGACAGCTCGGACCCAGCAATAGGAGTCACTTGTACCCGGCTTTAGGCAACTGTACTGTCCGTCCGAGTGGGTGTGCATGTTGGTGGGCATGTGACTAAATTGGGATTGCTGAGTGTCAGGGTGGTTGGATGAAGAGAATGCATACATTTTTCTTTTTGATGAGGGTCTTGTGGTGGACACTTTGGACATGTTATCTAAGGCGTGTCGATGAGTGGGACAGCAATTTCCGCGCCCCAGACGAATCACACCTCGAGAGGGAGTTGTGCCGAACTGTCTGCAAAAGACGGGGCCTATCATAAAACATGTTTCGCTTTGAGGCGCTCTCTTTGAGTGCTTTTGCTAACACTTTTGGAGAGTGAACATGTGCTGACAGGGCGTCTCGAAGGCCGATCGCACCGGAAGGCGACGGCGGATTCCTCTCGACCGACTGTCGTTTGGCTCGAGCAGAAAGTGAAATAGAGCAAATAAGTAATAAAGGCTGGATTTTGGGGCTATTTCTCAGTGATTTGATGAGTCGACTTTTCTATTTCGCACGAAAAGTTGGTCGGCTCGGAGGAATTCGGGAATTGGTCCCATCAAAAAGCGGACTTGGGCCATTTCGAGAACCTCTCTGCTCACCGTTCTACGGCCCCGATGAACTCGTGTCTAGCTTTCGTCT